CCAATGGTACGTTAGTAAAGGAGTTAAATCAGTCTAGATGCAAGTAAGTCTTAGTGGATCTTCCTCTAGGAGAACATTTATTAGTAGCAGAAGTATATCTCAGCAGGCCTCAAATCTCAGATAAGAGTGCAAGATTTGGAGTTGAGGACAATAATACGTACATATGGTAGGAATCGAAGAAATGTCAATCTCTTTTCTGCTTTGATCCAACATCTTAATAAAAACATCTGCAAAGGACTTCATCTTACAGCTCACTGTGAATATTGTTATTTCATAAGGGCTCCTTGCTCTTTGACTGAAGTTTGGTTTTTTGAGCTACTCCAGTTCTGGGTCTGTGTGGTTATATTGATTCTCCTACGATTGCATATGTGTAAATAGCCAAATGCCCTAGAATATCCCCGCTCTCAGAGATGATGCCCCATGACCTCAATTATGAAGCCCATGAACACATGCAGAGGCTGCCATACAGACAGCAGAGTATAGTGGTACAAATAAAGCAATGGGAAGAATGTGACTTGTTCTTAAATGACATCCCAGCATGTCTGGTAAAGGTAGAAGAAACCTTTAACAGCTAGGAGCACAACTGAAATTCTTAAAAATGATGTGAGAGTATTAGAGAAAGTTCTGGGGTTGACCCACCAGTCTAGGTCCCAGGCCAGCTGCTTCCTGTTTCTACACACATTGCATGTTCTTCCCTGCTGATGGGATTAGTCAAATAACCTGTAGGGTTCACTGACTTTCTCTTTCATTTTTTGATGGTTTTGACTTATTTGCCTTTGGAATGATGGGAACTCTTTGTGTGTCTCCCTGAGTCCCTAACTCTCAATGATAATGAAAGGGCACAACATGTATGTGTCTTTTACTATTTCTGCCAAGCACTAATCATTCAGGCTACGTTCAGCTAGTGGACTTGGTAATTAGATATTTGGGATTTATTATCAACAGCAGTAAGCCTTTTCTGAACTGTACCATACATCAGATACTGTACTTTACACTGGCAATTCAAAGACGTGATGTTGTCAGATACCATTTCACTGGGATTCAGTGTGTATTTATCTTGGGTGAATACTCTGATTGCTAATGTATTCAAATGCCAGCTCTGTTCACGAACTCTGGGGTCTTGGTCAAGCTTATGATTCTTAGTTTTCATCTATAAAATAGAAATCATCTCACTTTCAAGGGCTTATATTAGGAACAGATAAAATGATGTACATAAAAGAGCTTGAAAAATATACAAATATGAGATCATTGTTACTCTTATTAGACAGGAAGATCTGTCACATACAAATGACAACTAGCTAAAAGAATATATTGCCAAATTACAGTTATCCATAAGCCAAGTTCATAGGTCACTCAGAGATCTCTGGCAGTGATTTTATAACATGAACATAGTGGGTGATAAATATACAAACTTGTCACATGGTACAATGAAAGCAGCACAATGCCCAGCACATAGTAGGAGTCCAATAACTGTTTGTGGAATTGGGCAGATGTGAGTCTTAAAGAATGAGTAGAAATTGAATAGGTCAACAGTGTCGTGGATGGACAGTCCAAGCAGAAGGTACCAGTGTGCTTTGGGCACTAGAGAAGGTGTAGGAGGCTTGGTGAGGCTAGGGCACAACTGTTTGAACTGGGAATTGATGAGAGATGAGGCTTTAGAAGTAAACAAGGGCCAGGTCATGAAAGGGACTGGGTGCTATACTGCAGTTTGTTTTTCATTTTGAAGGCCATGGTAAGCATTGGGAGATTCTAAACAAAAGAGAGATCTGTTCATATTGGCCTTTTAGAATGATTTCCCTGGTGGCAAATATATGATGGGTAGAGAGACCCAGAGGAACATATCATGGTGGTCCAGGTAAGAAGTGGGTGGGTTTAAACTAAGCAGTGGTGGTGGGAGGAGGGCATGGAGACCGGGAGACAGAGTCAAAAGGAGTTTATGAGGCACAGCTGCCAGGACTTTTGGTGACTTGGGGTGTGTGTGTGTGTGTGTGTGTGTGTGTGTGTGTGTGTGTGTGTGTGTGTGTGTGTGTGTGTGTGTGTGTGTGTGTGTGTGTGTGTGTGCGCAATCTGCTTTAAATCACAATCTGCTTTAAGAAAACAGAAATACCTCATATGTTTTAGATAGATTTTTATCCAACACACTGAAAACCTTTTAAATGTTGTCTTCCTCCCTGATCATGGCTTTCCTCATGGTACAGCAGATAAGCCAATGGGTCACAAGTGCTATTTGCTTAGACTCCTTTCAAAGGGCAGAACAATGGATGAGGAGACCAGGCCTCTGTGTGTGTTAATGAGGAGCTGGTTTCATCTACTTTGGGACAGACTGCTTTTGAACTCTTTCCAACCATAGATTTTTTTATTAAACTCATCAACCGTTGTCCTGCTGCACTTGCCACATAGATTATGCCTATATGGTTGGTTTAGTGGAAAATTATTATTGGAACAGCTTTTGGAATCATTTAAAACAGATACTAATGATTGACCTGTAAGCCTCAGCTACTTCTGTTCATTAATTTTCTGTTTCAAAGTCAGCCTCAGAACTGCTTTTTATCATTTTAATTTTGAAATTGATTTTATTTGTGAAATATTACAGTGCAAGAAACATGAGATGATTTTAATTTCTGGAGAAATATCACTGGTTTTTGCACAATGAATATGAGTTTCTTGAAGGCAAAGATTCATTTTGTTTGAGTCCCAAGCACACAGAAGTTTCTGGCACGTGTGAAGTGCTAAGCATATATTTGTGGAATATGAAATGATTGAATTTAAATGATGGCTATCTTTTTAAAGAAGACAGTTTAGAGTTTCCTAAGTCAAACATATTTAACAGTAATTGATATTACCATAGGTAGGATATTTACCCAGAATATTTTTAGAGTATTTTAGATGGAAAGACAGTTTGGAAATGACTTTATTTTGTCTTTCTCCACCCATGAAGGCAGAAGCATCAGCACTTTTTTGCTGAAAGTCAGTCTGGGAGCTTTGTGGCCACTTTCCTTGCCCATTTATAATGTATGTGCACTCTGATTTTTTGTCCTGTTGCTTGCTCCAAAGTACTTCTTATCAATTACAACATGAAATTGATATATGGATCTCCATGCAGCATAAAAAATGTTTGCCAAAGGTTATGAAAAGTATGGAGATTGTGACTCTAATTTAAAAAAAATTTTTTACTGGTATTTTTAGCAAGATGTCCCTATCTTCCTTTTGTAAATTATACAGCAACATTAACTTAGCTCTCCTACCCACATTAAACTTCAAGCAAGAGCACATTTTAAATCATACATTCTAAATTTTCCAGAACATGCAATGACAGGCATTGCTTAAGAAGAGCAAAACCTCTTGACCAGCAGAATTCCCTACAACACCCGGCACGCAGCTGGGTGTTCATGGCAGACTGTGGAAGCTGTGGTTTTGTCTGCCTGCTCTGGTTTCTCGTCTTCTGTCTTCTGGTTCTCATGGAGACATCCTTCCATCCTCCTTCATCCCTGAGGTCCTGGGGGGTTGTTATCATGAGGCCCCAATCCCACCACAGACAGGGGTTCGTATGTGATCCTGAGTGGCTGATTCAAGCACACCATCCCCCAGCAGAGCGTGTAGCTTAGTGACAGCGCATGACTCAAGGTCTGGGGTCTGTCTGAGAAGGAAGCCAAGCAGGACAGGCTGATGACATCCCTGGATCTGCTGTATCCAGCTGTGCTCCAGGTCCACAATCAGACTTCCCGGTCAAGTCAAACAGCATAGTCTCTTTTTGTTTAATCAAGTTTCAGTTGGATTTCTGTTACTTGCAACCAAAGGAGTCCTAATTCATATAATATTTAATTTCAAGTAATCACGATATTAACCAGTCTGTCTCAAACCCCTTCCTTTTCTTAACATATAAGGGTCGTAACATATGCTTATTTACATGCTTACAATTCAAATGCCATATCTGAGTTCAAGACACAGTCTAGAAGCTCATGTCAAACAATTCTTTATTTTTTTATGGTACAAATTAAAAGTGACAGATTTGAAGCTGTTAAGAAATACACAAAGTGCAGCTTTACTGACCATACAGATATTGCTCTAGATTAAGTACAGTTTTGTCAGTTTTTTTAAAACATTAAGCAACCTGTGCAGATAAATTAGCTTTGGTTTCAATGTCAGAGCAAGTAAGGAGCTTTTAAATATCCAGTTTGGCTTCTTGGTCACAAGTCCATCATGTCAACTTCTTGTCATGATGAGTTTTCAAAACAACCCAGTCTGTTTCCTGCTCGTTCCTGCTGCCCGCTCCAGGCATGGATAAGCAACTCCTTCTCAGTGTCTCATCAGTGACCCTGGTGACCAGTCTAGATCACAGCACGTAGGACAAAAAAAAAATCACTTTCTTAACAATAAAAAAACAAATGTGCCTCACATAATTTCAAGTTGAAGACAAGCAAATCACACGACAAAAAAGCTCATTACAAAATGTTATCCAAACAGGTTTTACAGTCAAACATGGAAATGAAAATCAATTTCTTTTTTCTCCATTTTTTTAAGCTTGGTCATTAACTGGGTACAAGTAGAGTGCTGAGGTAAAACACTGATGAACAGTTTGTATTTCTTTTTTCTTAAAATAGGAACAGTTTAGTATTGCAAGATTGTCAGCAACATTTAGCCGTATCTATACAATGTGCATATACCTATAAATATTGAGCTTTGGTCCAGCGTAGAGAAGATGAGCAAAGGCATTTTACAATTTCTTTTTGGTTATAGCTTGAGTTCTTTGATATGCCTCTACTTGTTTTTTGTTTTTTTCCTAGCTCCTTTTGCTTTTTTGTTCTCTCTTTTGTAGGGTGTGTGTGTGTGTATGTGTGTGCTTGTGTGTGTATTATGTGATTACAACATAAAGAAACCAAAATCTTGCAATGCAATTAAAACTGTCAACTGTTCAAAATGTTTTTTGGTTAAAAAGAAAAACACCCTCACAAAAAAGTGTAAAATATAACATCAGTCATTTCTGTTTTTCATCAAACAATAAAGAAAATAAACATGACAATAATTTAGAAATATGTAAGAAAAATATTGAAGCTTGAAATACAATCACATATGCACTAGTGGCTTTTATTTTTTGTTAGTGGCAACCTTAGCCTGTAGTTTGTAAAAACATAAAAGACACTTAAATGTTATTGGCATATGAAGTTGTTTACAAGTGGAAATAAGAAATGTAATAATAAAATTAAGCAATAGGTGTGGTCCCGAAGACTTGTGAGTTACACAGTATAATTTATATTCCTAAGAATCTGTTCAGGCACCTTTTTATGCCTTGTAGCAAAAAATTTATCTGTAAAAAATTAATATAAGAAGCATTACAACACCTTATAAATAATTTATAAAACAATACAAAATTATAAAACTATAAAAAAAATTACTGCACATGAATGGTTTTACTACTGTGGGATAAATACATTTCTTTTTCATTCCATTCTGGAAGACTCTTTTTATTTTATATCTTCACTGTCCTAGTTATACCCCCAATTATAGATCTCCGAACTGAGCAGGCCTTATGGAACTGCTGCTGGCATATGTTTAAACATTTAGCATCCATCATATGTTATCTTGTTAACTTCTCTTCTTTGGGAGCTTTTCTTGATGGAATTTGGAGCAGGTCCTAGGAGAATACAAAATCTGTTTAATCAATACATTTTTGGAATTCTGGGTTGTTGGTTTGTGCAGTTTTTGAGGTGGCAAAATGGGTACCATGATGTCATTGGCTTTGAAGGTGAAGTTAGCTGTGGTCCAGTTAGCATCAGACTGGCAAAATGGAAAAACCTGTACAAGCGACTGGTTCCACTTCCAGGAATTTTCTTTAAGCATTTTCTTGCTGGTAATCTCCTGATCACTGCATGGATTATCGAGGGGGGGTGGGGGGGAGGGACAATTATACCATTGCGTTTATACAACCAGCAAAGGAGCCACCAGAAGAAGAGATTCAAACTCTCATCGGGGAGGGAAGATGGCATTTCTAATCAGTTGGGCAACTTGAGGTGGGGTTTCTTTTCTTTCTTTCGCAATTTACTTCTAGATAGTACATGAGCATGCTTATTAATTAATTATTCAGGAATATTTACATTTCAACAGCAGGCAATTGGATGGTTTTCTTTTGTCTGCTCCTTTAACTGAACACCTTTTGCCTATACCTGTGCAAAACACCAACCACAGGTTCCAAGTGCTCACCTGCACAGCCATCCTCCCATCTCAGCTTTTTCTTCTGGTTTATTAGGCTATTTTGGCTCACAGATCTTTTGAGTAACTTATTTTGAAAAATGAAACAATCCTTTAGTTTTAGTAGCGAAGGCTATTCTGATGTGTTAGATAAGCCACTTCTATATTTTTCCTTTGAGTGGAGGCACTTCATTGTTGAAACTTCTTTCTCCCTCAAGAACCCAGAGCCCAATTTGTTGTTTAAATTGCCAACTTTCTGCTCCATTTATATATACCAAGAACAATTGCTCTCCCTTGGAAAAAGTCTACCATTGTTATTGGAATGAAAGTAGTAGCAGAAAAAACATGGTGGCCTTTCAAGATCCAGTCACTATCTCTTTCTTTTTGGCCTGGCTTCTTTGTGTATGGGTATATGGGTGTGTGCATGCCATGTGTGTATTTTGACTGAAATCTTGAGACATTTCTTTGGCTATCAGACTTCTGAGAGAAATTGCTTTGCACAGAAGCATAACTAGATGTAAGTATTGAACCAAATGTGCAGCTTATCTTTATATTACAAAATTAGTTTTGGTCAGCTTTCCATGTACGTGGCCAACAGACTGAGAAAAATCCAAGCTCTGGTGTGGACAGTGAGCACAATTACAGCTTATGCCAGTGTCGACAGTTCATTGAGCAAAGCCCTAGCAATTTTGGAGTCTCTCCTGCATTTCACTAGGATCTGAGTGGAAAAGACACCGTTCCCACTCTGGGGCCTTCCAGCAGACCCTGGAGGCTACACACGAGGGAGGTGGACAAAAGAGAAATGCAAGCTCCATTTTCTTTTCTCAAACTCACAAGTCATAGTGAGAAGAAAGCAATGAATGCTTTGGCACACCATCCAGGATGCCCCCCCCACCCGAAAAAAACAAAAACAAAAACCAAAAAAATGAAGGAAAAGAAAAAAGAACCCCATCTACCCAAAATAAAAATTAATAGTGAGCCTCACACAATGGCTTCAACAAAGACATCCACCCCATAGGTGGTGACAATAGATGGGAAAGATGGAAGAAATTGGGCTTTCTAGTTTTCCGGTAAGTACAAATTCCAAATGTAAAAATTCATAACACAACTTTATACGCAGAGAAGAGCAGACTGACGATCGCGTTTGCAATGCCATGTTTTTGACTTTGGTTAATAGGTTTCATAGTGAGTCAGCACTTAGAACCTGAAAGAATGCAGTCCCTCCTCCAGGTGGCAGGCTTGTATTCTCTTTGAACAGATAAAAGTTTTTTTTTGTTGTTTTTTTTTTGTTTGTTTGTTTTTGGTTTAGTTTTTTTTCTTTTTCCTTCAAATGTATTCACATTTTCATAATACACAGAAAAGAGTCTGTGGTTATTTGGTTCACTTTAAGTCCTTTAAAAAACTGGCTTTAGGGACACAGGTCGGGGAGGGAAGTATCCTACCACACACCTGCAGTGTGGTGTATTCCTTGTTTAAAAATTTTCAAAAAAAAATTGTTTTTACTTTTGGAAAACCAATGGACATGTATAAATCATGGTGTCCACTTGGTAGCTTTCTCAGTCTTTTACTTACAAGGAGGATGACTGGGGTTATTTTTTAAATTTTATTTTAAATTAATTAATTATTATTTTTTTTGGTGGAGTCCCAGGGGTGGAGTTTAGTTTCTGTGGAGTTTGCTTCTGATTCTTGGTGGCCGTCCCTTTAGGAGTTTTCTTCCAGCGAGTCTGTTAAGGGCTCCAGGGGGACGGCCGAGGCCGGCTCGTGCTGTTTTAAGCGTTTAATTGTGTTCTTCAGGGCTTGCCTTTTATTGCAGAACCAAACTCTAACTACTTCTCGGTCATAGTTCAGCTTCTCAGCAATTTCGGTCATTTCCTGCCCCGAGGGGTGTGTGTTCTTCTCAAAGTGGGCATTGAGGATCTCAAGGGCCTGCGGCGTAAAGGAGGTGCGCCGCTTGCGCTTTTTGGACGGTTCACTCCCGATAAACTCGGTCAGGTTCTGCATACCTGCTCGATGGCGGGCCTCAGCCTCAGCCATCCACCGCTCAAGCACCGGCTTGATCTTCTGGGCACTTTTAGGGGTGATGTCCAGCTTTTCAAACCTGGCAGGATACAAAAGGCCAGGGTTCAGTTTGGCTGTCAGACTGCTAGCTATAGTGTTCTCTTGGGCTTCCTGTGGTAGGAAAAAGTGGCTTCTCAGGATGGTGTGTCTGGGGGGAAAATTGAGAAAGAACAGTCTTACACTGAGTCCTCTGCCAGGGTGGGCCTCCTGCCTGCCTGCCTGCCTGCCTGACTGACTGGCAGAGCGAATTCACTCCAGATTAGCAGCCAGCTGCAAGGTAGCTGCCCACTCAGGCCAGCACCCACTTCCCCATGCGTCATGCCAGTGCATGCAGCCAGCGCATCCACACACGGTGAAGGAGAGCAGGTGGGGACAGCACCACACACAGGCCACCACAAGGGAAACAAAGCGACACTCAGATCTTTTTCCTGTCAAGGCTTGAGATCTAAGCTTTGATTTTAATCATACTAGCACGATTTCCCCAATCTTCAGAAAGCTTAAGGCAAAAATTAACACCCGGAAGTGACATAAAGACAACAGTTGTCATGTTCTTTCATTTAAAATGATTCTTTTTATGTTTTACATTTGGTTTTCCTTAAATCTTGCCCCCCACTGACTTTATTATAGAAATATTACATCTATTAAAACAGTGATGGCAACCAGGACACGTTTCTACGTGGCTCTTTTCATCTCTTTGTGTCTCATTTTAATACCTACTCTCTCCCTTTCTCCTGTTTCTCTCTCTCGCTCTGTCTCTCTCTTCCTCCCCCCCCCCCATCCCACCTCTGGTAACAAACAATTTTCACCAAATGTAAGTTAACAATATGCTCCTTTTTCAGGTAAAACATGGCCCATTGCTACTTGACTGCTTGACTCAAATAGCTGGACATTGTAATTACTATGAACACTCCTCCCAATGTGCTAGGACCACAGTGTGCCTTCCAAACCCCGTCCAGCATAATGGTAAGGCGTCAAGCTGTGTTTAATGTGTGATATCTGCAAACTGTACTTGAATGATATTATTTGCTGTAAATGAGGTCTTCCGTATATCAATTGCCTTCAGCAATTCTTTGCTACACTGACTTAAAAAAATATGAAGCATCTCAAATAAAATTATATAGAGTGTTTTAAGAGGTCATCCTGGTATCAAGCTCATACTCATTCTCAATGAAATTCAAAAAAGTACCAATTGCTTTTGTTTGTTTGTGTATTCTGAATTCAAATTCACAATCTTCCGGTGTGACAACTTTGGATACATAGAATTCTCCTCTCTTAAAGTTCAGTGCTGTTGAAAACCAATCGTCTGACTGCAGAGTGCATCTTATTACAATAGTCCATTTTCATAGAGCTAAAATGAACCTGCTTTTAGTCAGTCAGAGTATGTTTTATAAGGATGCTTGCAAAGGGACACAAAAGGATAAGCTTCTTTTATGTGCCATAATCTTATTTTTGGAGCTGTATTTCAGATATCTTATGTTGTGATAAGCAGTGAAAATAGTATCAAATTTTAATGTGATTCCCATAGCATTCCCTTCCAAGCATAGTTCAAGGAGTTATTTGTTTATTTAAAAAAAAACCCAACTTCTAGTACTGGTCAAAGAGGGAAGAAGTACATTTTGCTTTCAATACAAAATGAATGAATCATTTAATGATACTTAAGGAGGCTGACATTTGTGGCAAACTTCCCCAAAACTCTCATTGTATTAATTGCCACATACCATATCTTACCATTATTCACTATAAAAGCCCCAAAGCTTAAACTCTTGCTAGCATGACAAAAGGCTTTATAGCGCCATGGCTGGGGACAAAACTTACGATGGGGATGCCCAGTGTATTGGTGGTGTTTTTCCCCTCTGTGTCCCTAATAAAAAGGGGCTCATCAATGCAGCCCCTGGGAATCTGCAGCTAAGAAGGGAGAAGTGACAGCTGGGTGTGCAAGCTCAAATGCACACCCCTCCCCACCCTTTAAAAGAACTTGAAGTGTTCCAATGCCACATCTTAGTTTCTTTCAAGACTTTTATTTTTTTTCTCTTGGTAGTTAGCTCCTAAAACTACCTCACTGAAATTCTGGAAGCTAGAGAAAGGCCAAAAAAACAAGGCATCTGACATATTCTATTATACAGTTAATTCCCAAGGTCTCTTTTCATTTCAGCCATAGCCTTTTTGGCTTCTGCTGGGGAACGCTTTAGAAATCAACATATTTGATTGGGAATGCCCAAGAAACACTACCTGTGTTAGTGAAAACATTAGATAACACTTAAACCAGTAAAAAAATAATCAGATTTTAGGACTAAAAATAAGTCAAAGAAGACTTTAACAACAATAGCAAATTGGCAACAACTTAAAAAACTGTGGCTGCTTTTATCACAAGCCTGTCAAGAAGAAACAAAATTAATGTTTCCCGACAGGGAGCAACCATATTCATATCGCTGATGCTGCTTGTTAGTGCTGACGCTTCTGTACATGTTGTTTGGAATAACATATACAAGCCTTGAAACAAATTTCCCAGCAGTAGTATCCTTGTATAGACGGAATAAAGGTTATTTTCTACAGGGAGGTATCTTATAAGAAAAAACAGTAGGGGAGGCCATAGAAGTGAGAGTCCTATGGCGCTTTTTGTATTTAACAACAATCAATGGGTTTTATGGAAAATCATTGAGCAAAATGTGAGCTGCAAGCTACTACCCCATACTGATGTTATTTATAACCTTAGTCTTAAACTGCAGGAAAAGTACACTTCCGTCCTTTGGGGAATACATTAAAAGTATAAAGAGCAGATAAAAAGACAGCATTTCATGGATCACCAAGAACAAAATCCACTTAAATGAGTTTAGAGTTGGTTTCTTGGCTTTTCCTGGTGGAGGAGGACTCATAAGGCATTGCCCAGGAGGAAAAAGCTCTTACAGAAGTGCCTTTGTTACCTCATGCATAAACAAGGGATTAGTGCAACACACACACACACACACACACACACACACACACACACACGCACACGCACATGCACACGCATGCACGGGATCTCCTTGTGGCTTGACCCAGATCAACTTGAACACAACCAAGGCCCGATTCTGTCATTTATTTGTTTAATTTTTTGGGGGTAAGCAAGGTTAGGCCAGATTCCCACTACCCTTTTCTGAGCTATGTAAAGCAGCTGCTCCTTTTTAAAAATGTGCTTTTAAAGTTGTGCCCGAGAAGGCAAGTTAAAAAATTCCTTTGAGGTCACAAGATGGTTAGTTTTCTTTTTAAGGTATGTTTTCTTGGAAAATCCTGGTAGCGACCCTTGGGCAGAAATGGTGGTGTTGTTATCACCAATTGGGACTAGCAGCTTTACGTTTGCTGAAGCCACTTCTCTGCAGACAGCAGACAATGGCCCTCAGCTGCACAGGTGTGTGGGTCCGGGAGGAAGGCCTCTGGCCCAGGGTAGTGTATTCTCTATAAGACTGCCTTGGAAGTTCTTCGTGAGTTGACAGGAGTTTTCAAGCCAGGACCCGCAAATCTGCTTTAGCACCTTCATTTCCATCAGTACCGCCAGTTCCAACATATAGCCACCCCACACTTTGTTCCTGCACTTTACCCCTCCAGCTTTGCCCACCCGAAGACGAAAAGCTGAGCCAAAAGGACAAACGAGGCCCAGACCGGCCAGGAGAGGTGACAGCATGCGGGCGCGGGTTACCTGCAGATGGCTGACTGGCTGTACGCAGGGCCCTCTGTAGCACTGAGAGCCTGTCCCACCTGAGTCTGGGTCAGGCCAAGGGACAGGCGTCGGATTTTAAAAGCTTTGGCAAATTCTCGGATCTCCTCCAGATTAACCCCATCCACCTCACCCGCTGCCGTTTGAGGATCTGTGGAGATGTTTTTAAAAATAGGATCAATACGTCAACACACATCTGAGTAGTTTCTGTTTATCATGGTTTATAGGAAAGTGGCTTTCTTAACAGCAGAGCAGTGGGGAAACCAACACTGCAGAATGTTCTTTGTCTCCCAGGTAGGCACCCAAGCCCCCATCCTCAACTCAGTACACCTCCACAAACCATCCTTCGAGATATTTCTATCCCAGGTAAAACCACAGGTAGCCCACACTGCCATTTCTACAACACAAGAGCATGTTCCTTAGGAAAGCACCTGCTATGGGGAAAGACAACTCCATTTTGCCCAGAAATATGTTCAAATACTGTGCAAAAATATAAAAATGGAAAGGTTTCAATTTGAAATATCATAATTGGAATCATTAGTGCTAAAAATTCCCTTGAAGAAAATATACTATTTTGTGTTTTTCCTTCACCTGATCACCCAGGCTAACAGATGGTAATGTTGCCTAATTTCTTATGTTCATGTGAACTCTTCAGAAGAGCGTACTTACGAAGCTGTGAGAATAATCTACATCCCCTGAACCATAGCAGATTACTGACACCGGTGCCTTTGTCCCTTGAAAGGGCACAAAATAAAAAATGCCTACTGCAGGAAGGCTCCTTTGGTGCTGGCTAACTTGGTCAATTTAGGACTTATCTGGGGAAATGATACAACAGCTGGAGGATGAAACTTCCCTCCTGCGCTACTGATCCCTGGGTAGATGAAAGCACACAGCTCGCTGGAGACAGTGTGGGGTGGGCCAGTGGACGATTTCAGCGTGCTGCTGGGTCCTGCCTGGAGGGAAGCCACTCTCCCCACCAGCTGACTCTATTGTTCTTCACCTCATTCCTTGGACTTCAGTGAAAAGTTTTTCTCTTCCTGCTTCTGCACATGAGCCCATTAATTTCAATATATCTGAGTACTCGTCTAAGGACTGCAGTGGATGATATTACTCTTCTGGGCTCAGGGCTATAGACACTTTTGTTATCATGAAAAAAAAATTGCATCCCAAGGGCCATTTTTTCAAGGATGTTTAAATAAAAATGTTAAAATTTGGAGGGGCTTGGAGCTTCATGTATAGATTCTCTCATTACAGGGCCAATGGACTCAATAGAATTAGTAATACAAGTGTACACTCTTCCTTTATCTTCATATTGAAAAGAAGTCCTGTAGGATTTTTACATGTCATCAGTCATAATTTCATTATGGAAAGACTGAAAAGCGGTATAGCCACTGCAATCAGTCTGTAAATATTTCTTAAGTGACTCCTGGGAGCCCCAAGAAGTAAAGGGAGGCAGCACAGGCAATAGAAGAGGTGGTTCCAGCCTCTATGGAGTTTACCGTCTGTATGGGGCTAGGCCCCAATATTATGAAAAAGAAAACTTAGAGAAAACTACCAGGCAGAGCATAAGCAAGACCTGATGTTATGACACCCATACTGGAATTCACAGAGAAGGGTGAGGAGACAGGAGGGAAGTTGTTACCCACTGGGCAGCTTTCAGAGAATGGAGGGGCTGTATTCTGGTCAGTGGGAACACGCAGACGCCCATAGGTGCAGGCCGGAGCAGAGCCTGCAAGGGTTTGGTGGAGTGGAGTGGGGTAGGGCGGAGCAGGCGTGGTGAATATTCAGTGTAGGACGTTGAGAATATGTGCACGCGCTGGGGTAGAGAGTGACTATAAAACTGGTTTGATTGTTAAGATCAATTAAAGTCCTGCTTTTTCTTCCAAAACTCCGCCCCCATCCCCTGCCCGAAAGCCAGCAACAGCTGGTTAGGGAAGGACTTTGTTTCGGTTGTCCCTGGTGGAGGCTGCCTCCCGGATCTTAAATCCCTCCTCCCAGCAGCCTGGGGCAGCGTGAAGGCTTTGCTAGGGGTCCTGGGAGGTCACATCCACACGCACGGTGGCCTTGAGCCCTTCTCTCATTTCTTTCTTTAAACATTCCTAGAGCCGAAGTTGCAAATGAGCAGCTTGCATATAAAACTGAACTTTCCTAGTGTTTACATGGTTTTTGAATTCCTTGCCAACATTTAAACATTGGGAGATATCTGAAGAAAAATCTAGATGTTTCATATTCTTTTGAAATGTGGGAAGATTTGGCTGTATCCAGGCTACACATGCTCTGTGAACAGTCAGCTGAACTGCCCTGGCCTCCACTTCAGCCACTCATCCTGGCTCGTCTCCAGCCCTCCGCAGACCTGCTGCTTTGCTGAGCCTGTTTGCGACTCTGTGTCTAGAGCACGCATCCCCGAGGAGGCGAAATTGGTCCTGGGTGGTGGTGGGGAGGGTGGAAAAGTCTTAGATAGCACGTGGTTGTGGCCCCCCAAACAGAACAGGTGTGCAGTATATCTATGGTATTAATGTTTCACAGGGGCAGGAGGACAATTCAGATAAAAAAGTTTAAAAAGGCCCCTTGTGGGTGGGGGTGGGAGGATGATAGTAAAATAATAGTTGAGACGCTGGTTTAGAACAGAGAAGGACACTTGGTTCAAAATGGCACTGTGAAAGAGGGGCCTGGTCTCTCTCCAAGAGAGAGGGCAGTGTGGGCAGTGCAAGTTCAAAACCGCAGGTGAAAAATGAAAGCCAAAGACTTTCCTTGTAACAATGTGGCTTTTAGGATGGTGGTTTTCTTAATGTGGCAGGTGTAAGAGTCACTCGGGGCCCAGGGATGTGCATTTTTAGGAAGCACCACAGGCAGTTCTGATGCAAGAGATCCTTGACCCCACAGACAGAGGCCTTCTCTGTGGCTCTGTCATGACTAAGTCTGGGCACGGCATCTTCTGCATGCCACTAGCATCCTTTTTGGATCCTTTACCATTATTATTCAGCAGGTTCCACTACACAGAAAACTTGCTTTACCACATGTGTAAGACCAGTGGGCCAGAAGGGACCCACGAGGAGGGGCTGCTGGGCAGACACCCCATCCTTGCCCTTTCCCACCCCCAGTCCCACCCTGTATGGCAAGTGACACATGTCCGGGTGCCAGTGCCTGGGGAGGGCAGTATAGTCTGGAGTTGGGGGAGATGTTTTTCTTTCTTTTTTTAATTTTTATTTTGGGGAGATTTTTTTTCTAAGCGAAGCTAAGTAGCCCCTGTGGGAAGTAAATTGTTGCCTTACATTAGACCCATCTCTAGGTCAATGGGAACCAGTTGAGTTAGCCAGAACATGAGGGGTGGTGGTCTTTAATTTGGAAGGATTTTCCCCGTCTACTCCAGTCCCAGAGCCTGTGCTGCCACCACAGTTAGCAGAGCAGTACCAGGCAGCTATATGACTTGGGCTGCATTTTATGCAAGTCCATTTTACTTATTTCTTCCTCTTTCCCGGTTGCCTTTATTGTTTGTCTCCTTACTAGTTCCTTGAGACCAGGAACTAAAACTGAGTATGATCATGCAGGTTGCTTTTTGCCAGATCATGGACAATAACCAAAGTTGAAAAGAAAGCTGTGGACTCTTAGCTCCATGCACTGAGCAAAGCTGTTGTCAGACGTCAGTCTGAAGCTCAGAGAGGTGGGCACCTGCCCCACTGAGCCTGGTGGCTTCCTTGAGGCCCCACACAGACATTCATTACACCAGGGGGCTGATTTCCTTCTGCCTCTTCTCACACATTTCCCACTCTTGTCTTTTTCCTGGTTCTACTTATAGAGCTGAGAAGACAGGAATTCTTGTGAAATTTAAGCAGGTTGATGGTTTGTTAGACCATGGCGCAGGGAGGGGAAATCAGCATCTCTGTTTGTGTAATTTGTTGATTGCTGGAGGTGAGCTGACTGGCTTTCTTTATAATAGTGGTCTTATCCATAACATCAGACAGCAAAATGCATTGCTGTGGTTTTGCTCCCTTGGGTCTCAAGACCACAAAAGCCTCTCCATCCAAATAAGGGGCCCACCCACGGGCGAATATCAGTTTCACATGTGTGACTTGTCTTCACACATTGAAAGAATTCATTAGAGGGTGTTTGTAAGATGTTTTGAATTAATAAAAGAGCTGATGCTATTTTTTCTTTTTTTGATCCTGAAGTTTCTGTCTTAAGCTCTTGAGGTTTTTTCCACCATTGGAACAGTTCCTCTTCCTTAAAGAATATATGCTTTTCTGGTTGAGGAGGGGAAACAAGAGGTGAGTGTGGTAAATGTCACCTCAGCTCTCAGTCTACCTCAGAAGTTGACATTCCACCCTGGATAGGTCAGTCTGACTTTCTGTCCTCCATTCTCCTGGCTCTGGAGGTTGGGTTAATTTTAAGGATGAATCTGAGGGCCCCTTGGTGGGGATCTCAGAGGGAGCCCTCAGATCATGCTCCAGGTGGAGCCGGCACCTATCAGCAGTTCTAGGGCAACCAAGCCGGGGGTTTTCTGCACTGAAGGGAGAGTTGCACCTTTTATAGAGGTTTGCTGCAGATTAATTTGGCTCAATATATTAAACATAGGGTCAGAAAGCAACAGCAGTGACTGCCAGGGTCCACCCTGAGTCTGATCCTTGCTAGAGGAGCCAGAAGATCATCCTATATGGGGACTAACTGGCCTGGAGATTGGGAATAAACTGGCATTTAAAGTTGGCGGTGACTTGTAAGTATAGTGATGATGTTTCCCAAATCAGTCTGGAATGCATGGGCTGAAAAGTAAAAAGATTTTAATGGGAGCTAAATGCAAGTTGTGTGAAAACAAACCTGTTCTGCAGAGCCTGGTTGCACGGTCCCTGGCACTATCCTGAACTGAGTGCTCAGGACTGAGCAGGAAAAATGTTTTGTTTAATTTTTTAAATTTAGCTCCTTCCAACTGTTAGATTGGGTATCAGTGTAAGGTTGCTAAGTGGGTTGTTGAATAGTCACCATCTCTCAGCGTCACCCTACTACAACTTCTGCCTCTGGGGTTTTTGTAGAAGAAACAGTGCATCTTTAAAGTATGAATTAACTGCCTTCTGTAAACATCCATCTACTTTTTAGAGCTATTCTCACAGCAAATAATGGGCATATTTACCAAATATTTCTGAGCAATAAGAAACCATTTGGGAATGTGCAGTGCGATTTGGGAGAACAGCTTACTTGGAATATGGTGACTTCACTGGGTTGTGGAAAACAGTGTGAATTGTGATCATGTAAATTGGGGTTCCACTGTGCCATGCTATTGCCATGCATCTTTATGTTCACTTTATAGTTTTGGTTTTTCTGGTAGTGACTATTAGTTCTTTGCTGACTAAGAATGAAGTTCACAGGCCAGGGTTTAAGAAAAGTGTACTGATAAACCAAACCAAACCCAGCAAAGAATTAAAAATCCCAAATTACCTGTTTTTAAACAATACTGTGTAAATCTTGAGCCAATTTGGGACATATGCCATTTGTTTGACTCTATCTTTCCAAGAGCCCTGCTTATAGAAACTGCATTTACCTTGGATGGCTGTGGGGACTGATAAAGGTTTAACACATGGCAAGCTGTGTACCATGTGCTATGAACCATACCGTGCACATGCTCCAATGTGTGTGCGTATTTGGTAATTCTGAGCCTGGGTGTGGTGTTCTTTGCACGTGAAGATCCTGTTATCATTGCTAACACATTAACTCTGCCTCCTTTTGCCTGGAGTGGGGAGATTTTTGGATGATCCCTCCACTCCATTTCATCAGGAACAGTAGGTTGCCCAGTGCTAGGGTGAGAGTCTTTGACCATGAGGAGGGAAAGTTCACTGACCAAGATTTTGACCATAGGTTCAAATCCAGTTTGACCTGGTTCAAACTATGACCTTGGCCTACTGGATGGATTTGTTGCTCCATTAACCATCCAGCTCAATTCAAGAATTAACTGTCACAGCAAGTCCTTCTGTTCTTTCTCAGCTTCTAAAACTGAGACAATCATCTATTGTAGGGGTCGGCAAACTGCGGCTCGCGAGCCACATATGGCTCTTTGGGTACGTACATGTGGCTCTGAAGTAAAATTGAAAATGAAACTAAAACTATCATAGTTTCATTTATAAAAATTTTAAAGGAGATTATTCACATAATGGTGATTTCATTTGTTTTATAGTTCTCGCAAAACTTCATGGGACAGGATTGGCTCTTCCGTCTCAAAAGTTTGTTGAGCCCTTATCTATTATATAGACATTGTCCCTGTACATATGTTGATCATAGCATTTGTTTTGCTTTGTTCCTTGTGCTTCTTTGTAACCAGTTCATGACCTCCCCCGGGGCAGAGGCAACATCTTGCTTATTTTTGTTTTCTTAATTTCTATCCCTGTGCCTGGTATATTCATGGTACTCAGTAAATGTTTTTCCTTCCTACATTGACAGACTCTGACCCTTCTTTTCTCCTGTAATTTAATCTGCATAACAACAACACCTGAACTATGGGGTTAAGTCTCCCCTCATTAGCCTATCTACAGATTTGGTGAAGTTTAATCTCAGACAAAAATAACTTTAATTGTAATTTTATGCTTGAATGTAAATTTAATAATATGCAAGATGTCTAGCTTTTCTCTTCATATTGGCTCAGAGAAAAGCCTATGCTTTAATTGTAAGGAATGGACCCAGGCTTTAAAAAATTACTCGAGGTTTATTCAGGTGATTTGATATATTTTGTCACTTAAATTTCACTGGGTAAAATTGACAAGTAAGCACCCTGTCCTTTCTGGCTGCTGTGGTGTATAGATTGTGTATGACGCACACTGAGTCAAATTTCTTAGGTTATCGCCCTGGCTTTGTCACCCATTAGATTTGTCATACAGGGTGTCATGGTTTCTCAGCTAAGACTGAATCTGGTTCCTCTGACAGATGATGGTCAAGATCGGTTGTGCTTTTCAGGATCTATTTGATGCTAGCTTCAATATCTGAAAATTAGGATGCATGATACTTTGCTGTGAGTATTAAAATGAGTAAAATATCAAAAATGCTTTGAAAACTCTACAAATGAAGGCTCAGATGGAGGTTTGTTGAGGGTAATCAGCATCAGAAAATATTACATGTACTTTTTATTCTGTAGTTGGGTTTTGAGACAGAAGGAAATTAACTAAACAACATGCTCAAAATCTAAGTTCAGCAACGGGTTTGTGTAAAGTCTGATGCCCAGTGGTACTGTTAGACCCCTTGTATCTTCCAGAGAAGGCTCCTTCTTCAGGCTCTGCATGGGAATACAGAGTTTCCTTCCTCAAGTGCCTGTGGTACAGGAGTCTCTCTCCCCAGTTCTTTATACTTTATATCAAGGACATGTAATCTGGTTCACTCATTCTGTACCTAGAACTTAGTTGCTCTGTTGGCCGCTGTGCAATTGAAGTTCTATCTGGCCCATTAAATAGCTCTGTTACTGATTTCTGAGAAAGGGAAAAGCTTTCCCTGCCCAGCTTGAGACACCTGATCAGAGAGAACCCAGTCCCATCAACCTTCTGTATGTCCGTCCATGCAGTCATTTCTGTCTCTATCCATCCAACATATATTGAGTGCTTACCTTGTGTAAAATCCTGTATTTGTGGAGGTGGTTGTACTTTTATTTCATATTTAACTTATTCTCTATAAGATGCTTGATCTCATTTCCTTTTCTTTCAGGACCAAAGCTTAACAGTCTATCCTGAATTTATGACCTTGCTGTTATTTAGAAATAGAATATTTTATAGAAACTTATGCAGAATATTGAAACGGGAAAAGTTTGTATTTTTTTCCTGCAATAAACCTATAAGGAGTTCTTTTATTGGGAAACATCTGGCTATCATAAAATTAATTTATCCATGATTTTATTTAAGTAAGACTAGAATTTCTGACCCAAATGAAAGCTAAACAACCTAAAATAACAGGTCAATGGCAAACGCCATATGTAACCCGAAACTCTGTTTGCTGTTGACCCATCTGAAGATCAAGAGCATCCAGTCTAATTGACTGAAGTACTTGGGTATTTTAATATCCTTCCATAAACCCTCATTCTCTCATCCATTCCACAAGCATCTTTCCTGCCTGAATTAGTCATACAATTGAATATAAGTATATATGTACAAATATGTGTATAGATATACATATACATAACACATATATATACTAAACAACATATATATGCATACGAGGTGTGATGAAACAATATGGTGAATGTTTAAATAAAAAAATTTATTACAGTAAAAGACACATTGCCATTAACCCCCCTCAAAATACTTCTCCTAACTTCAAATACCCTTATCCAATTGTTCTTGCCACTCTCTGAAGCAGTTCTGGAAGTCCTCTTTCATGAGTGTCTTTAGTTGTGCTGTTGTGGCTGCCTCGATGTCCCGAATCATTTTGACTTTGGGGAAGAGCCAACGTCACAATGCCAGATCCGGTGAATAAGGTGGATGTGTACATACCATAATGTTTTTATTTGACAGAAATTGCCATATACCAGAAGCAATGTGTGACACGGAGCATTGTTATAATGGAAGATGATTTATAGCACACTTTAAAACACACCTCTCAACCATAGCTCACACCCAACTGACTACACTGAACAAGCTGAAAACTTCACACACTGTTACTAAGGTTCGACACAGGGCTTCCCATATTGAAGATCCCTGCCTTTTTCTTGGATGTCACTGGGCAGCAGCATTCACTATATTTTGTGATGATGACAGAAGGGCTCTGATCACATGTCACTCCTGGTACAGCAATTTCTGTCAAATAAAAACATTACAGTGTCCCCTCATCCACTTTATTCACCAGATCTGGCACTGTACAACTTCTGGGTCTTCCCCAAAGTCAAAATGACCATGAAAGGAAAATGTTTTGAATTGATTCAGGATATTGAGGCAGCCACAACAGCGCAACTAAACACACTCATGAAAGAGGACTTCCAGAACTGCTGCAGAAAGTGGCAAGAATGATGGGATAAGTATGTTCGAATTGGAGCAACGGGAGTATTTTGAGGGAGATTAATGTTAATGTGTCTTTTACTGTAATAAATTTTTAAAATTTAAACATTCACCATATTGTTTGATCATACTTCGTACATATACTTTTGAGGAGGAGTTGCTTGTGGGGAGAGGACATGACAACCTTCCATTTGCTGTGCATTACCAGACTTGCCCCATGATATGTGAGGATCACTATGATTCCTGTTATAACAGCCCATTCACGACAGTTGACCAAACATAGATACTCACATGTATCCTTGTTTTATGGCACAGGTTCCTATGCAGTGCTTTTGCCCTTTATAGCCATAAGTACTGGATTTTTGGCCCTTGGACAATCACAGCCTATGCACATGTTCTGCTATTTTATATCTAAGTAAAAATTGTACTAACCATGAGTAACTAACATTAAATTAGCCCTTTGTCCCATTCATCTTAACATGTTTTCATGTGCATGTGATATATACGCTGTCTTCACCTAGGGCCAGCTACCATTTCAAAAAATTCTATCTATATGGCCTACAGGGAAGCAGGCTGGCAGGTCTACTGAATTTTATGAATGGTTGTCCAGAGATTTCCCGCTGGATTCCAGCCCATGCAGCTCCCCTCACATGCCACTGGAGGCAGCTCATTATGCACACACACCTACCCGCCCACAGGCATGCTCGCTTTTATTTCCTCTGACATCTACAAATAGAATGGCAGGGGACTTCAAACACAGAAAAGCAGCTTAACCTGCAGGCTGAGTGCCTGTTGTTGGCTATTTCAGCCCTGAGCTGTGTGGCTCATGCCAGCTGATCAGTTTCTCCTGGAGTGGCAGGACTGACTCAGCACATGAAAGCACTTGAGATGGAAACCAGCCCCTACAGGCACTTATCAGGGGGTGGGCTTTGGGGGCCTGCATCCCAAAGGAACCATCTGGCCCGGGGCATGGACTCCATCCCAGTACTGGCCTAGCAGGGCCAGGAAATTCCTCTTGGATGTTAAGAAAATAAGAGAGAGAAGAAGGTAGGGTAGAAAGGAAAGAGAGATAGAGAAAGAGGGAGGGAAGGGGAGAGAGAAAGGCATTGCAAATAGGCAACAAGAAGGCCACCATGATATAACGAGCCAGAAAGGATACTTACTGCTGACTAACTGGCCCACGCTCAAAGCTGAAGAAGAAGAGGATGAGGAGGAGGAAGAGGAAGCCTGCCGGATGGGGCTCTGAGACATGGATGCTTGGCTGTGGGCCAGGTGCAGAAGGCTGCCTTGGGAGGCCGCTTGACCCACTGACGTCTGGGAGGGTTGGTGGAGCTATACAGGGGGATGTAAAAATACACAAATGAATGAAAAATTAGGGGGAAATGCCAGGAAACAAGTTTCATCTGGGGGTGAATCATTTTATTTCCACAAATATGTATTTCTCAGAGAAAGTGAACATCCTACAAAACGGGCAGGATTTTTTTTTGTATATAATGTTATTGTATATAATTGTTAATGTCTGATGGGCATTTTATCAGGAATTCTAAATATGTTATTAATTTCCCAGTTGGCTTGCTGGAGCACCCCATTTTCTGCATTTCCCAACCATGACATGTAACTAGACTCTTGCTGCCTGTTCAAACAATTACAGTGCATTTGACAGGCTTCTCAAGTATGGAAAGATAAAATATAATGCTTACAATCATCTCAGAATGCAAACCTCAATCATAACGGTGTGGCTATGCCCAATCATTTGTCTAATGTAACTGGTATTTTTAGGAAAGCTCCAATTTAGTCTGAGTGTATATGGAAACTTTCTGCTCTCCCAGACCAAAGAGTTTGGGTGTATTACTGTGGAATCAGGAAAAACGCTCTCTAATATCCTACAGAAAATCAAGAGAGAAATTGGGGCAGGCAGGACAAAAATCTCTATTCATATTTGTAGGTCTTAGTTGTCACTGCCCGACCCTGTGCCAGCCTGTTCAGGACCTCTCTCATCTACTTCTCATGTCCGCCTGAGAAGTGGGTATATTTTGAATCCTTTTTTACAAACAAGGAAGCTGAGGCACTGACAGGCAGAGGTTTTGTAGATTCTGGCAGGTGTGGGAAAGCTCTTCTTTACACATATGAGGTCTGATCCTGGACTCTAGCTCTTAGTCACAATGCCACAAGTAAGAATTGACTTCATTTCAAACATTTTGTGTGCCTCAAGGAAGACTACCTTTATATCCATTTACTCATGACCCCTTCACCGGTTATCAAAGGACTGTTCTTAGGAGGGGGAGGAGCTAGGCTGAGGAGAGGAAGGAGAGAGGAAAGGGACATAGCTGCAGGTGCCAGGTCCACTTAAAAGCTTGGGAGGGATCTCTATTGTTCTGTGTCTTGCTTTCCTAGAAAGGTGACACAAAGGGCAACGCAGGACCCTGAGCAGGCACACGAGTGGCCACCTGCCACCTCTGTTGACTGGACATAGCACTTTCTGGCTTACAAAGTGTTTTCATAGCCATCACCATACTCAGAGAGGTGTAGGAGGTTTTAATAAAAGGAAGTCAGCCAGGGAGTAGAATCGGGTCAGGGCCAGAACGTCGATGTGGGAGCCAACTACAAAACAGATACCAATCTTTGACCACCTTCCCGGGGTCTGAGAGCCAGCCTGGGGTGTTTTGACTTCACATTTGCTTTCCCTGTGGGGTATGTGTGTGTGTTCATTTTTTTCACTGAACTTTATTAAGATATAATTTACAAATAATAAAATACAACCAGTTTTCAAGCATACAGTTTGGTGAGTTTTGTCAAATGTATACATGCCTATGAAACCATCATCACAAACAAGATATGGAACCTTCCCATTTTTCCACAAAGTTATCCAATCCCCTTTGCAATCAATTTTCCCTCAACTCTTGGCCCCAGACGACCACTGCTCTACTTTCTATCATGATGGACTCATTTGGCATGATTCTAGAAATGGAATCATCTAGTATGTACTCTTTTGTACCTGGCTTCTTTTGCTTGGATAGTATTTTTGAAATTTATCCATTTTGGTGCATATATCAGTAGCTTATTCTTTTTTTATTGCTGAATAGTATATATAGTATATGACTATATCTATATCTATATCTATATCTATCTATATCAACTGTACCTGTATCTGTATCTATATCTATATCTATATCATCTATATCTATATCATCTATATCTATATCTATCTATATCTATACCATAGATTATTTATCCATTCATCAGTTGATGGACACTTTGGTTATTTCCATTTGGGGGCTATTATGAATAAAGCTATTATAAACATTCACTTTCAAATCTTTGTGTGGACCTGTGTTTTCATTTCTCTTATGTAAATATCTAGGAGTGGAATTGTGGAAATTACTGGATCACACTGTAAATGCATATTTAAGTTTTAAAAAACTACCTAACCGATTACCAAAGTAGTTGTAGCATTTTATAGTCTCACCAGCAATGTATGAGAATTCCAGTTGCTCCACATCATTGTCAACACTTGGGAATATCAGTCTTTTTAATTTCCTAAAGTGTTTTTAACCATGAATAATCATTTTGCTTTCAAGCAATTGTTAGTAAGGTGCTACTTTGGAAATGTGCTTAAAGAGCTATTCCCTCTGGTCCCCTGAGGTAATACTTTTGCTACCTGATTCATGTGATGTCCCTATGCAGCAGATGTGCCTGCATGATTGTGAGAAGTAAATGTCTGGCCCAAGGCCATGTGGTCTGCTGAGCATTAGAATCCAGAGTCCCACCTGTGGTTCAAGGCTCCTTCCAGGATGCCATGCTGTCCCACTACAGAATTGCAATGCTGTCCCCTTAACAGTAAGTGAACATCCTTATTGTTACTTGATTGTGCTAAGTGAAGGCTTGATTATGAACCAAAGATAATTATAATCGACATGGAATCCAAATTAATATGCATAAGCATCTGCCTAAATTAATTAGCCAATCTGTTGAGCACATAATCAGCAATTGAATCCAGTAAATTTTATCCCATAAGGACACACATTAAAGACTAAATTTATTTTTAATTTTCTTAATAAAATGTGATGGATATTTGCACGTCAGTCTTCCCCCTCTAGCTTATTGAGTTGCCTTTCTAAATATTGTTTCTAGACAAAAGCTTTACAGTTGAGTTACTGAATCATGAGATAGTCTTCAGTTTTACCATTTCATCAATATTTTATTGCACCTGGGTGTGGTAAAGTGCCATCAAAGAACTGGATAAGACAATAATCAATTAAAATTTTTCTTCCTCAGACACAACTCAGTAAAGAAAAAATTACTAGGCTGCAATCTCCCTTTGGAGTCACTAAAGCAAGCTAGGGCTTATGCATTAAGCTACACAGGAGAAGAATTCGAGAGGAAAAGAAAATAGTTCTTTTAAGAGCTTGTTCTATGTCTACACAGTCAAAGAGAGAGATGAATCTAAGATATCTAAAAATCTAAGAAAGATATATTTCTTCCAAAGGAAATAAACATTTTTTTTAGGATACTGGGATCCTGCTTACCCTCTAGAGTTCAACCATATATTTCAGAAAAAACAATAAAAATTCAAAAAGGTTCTTACTTGTCAAGAATCAAGATTATAGAAGCAGTAATATCCTAATGGGGCCCATATAATTCTTTCCAATTGCCAGTATAGACATGTGTCTGTTAATCCCAGAATCAATTGTAAACCCAGATAGACTAGCTTATTGTACATACAAAATCATCCCAGAGATTGACTTCTCTTCCATAATTTCTTCCCTCAGAGAAAGAGGGATAACACTTCATGTTGAGAGATACACTTCTGTTACCATCTATCCCTAAAACTGCAATTCTTTCAGGTAAACTCTAAAAATAGCGCTATCTTTGATATTCTTAGTTTAATGATTTTGGCACTTTAATCTTTAAAAAATTTATACTTAATATATATCTATATATATATTGAATAAGAAAAGAGAAAGCAGAGATTTAAACTACTTCATAAAACAACTCTGGGATTCACTACAAATACTGAATATACTTTAAATAGAAAGCATTAGAAAAACGTTAGTTAACTAGATTTAACTATGTTGATTTTCAGATGCTGACAACTGTGAAAATCATGTATACTTGTATTGCAGAATTACTGGCAAAAGAAATAGATGTATAAATACCGAAAACATAATTGGTCACAAAAATTAGAATGGATTACCAAAAGAAAATGCAGGAGTCAGGGTATAACTAGAAGCATGAAGGAAAAGTTATTCCTTTTCCTTCCTGAAGAGAAACAGAAACTTAGACGCTTCCATAAAGGTTTCATTACATTGCTTTGATCTTGAGAGGCCAACTTTATGGACATCATTTATTGGATGCATCCTACATGTTTTTACGTACATTGTTTTTAATCCTGGCACTAGCCCTCTTTGTAAGGTATTGGTGATAATCGTTATAGAGGAGGAAATAGAGACTTTAAAAGGCTAAGTTGCTTACCTGGGATCACACAGTAGGTACAAAGTGCGATGTGAATCCAGGTAAGTCTAACTCAAGAGCCCGGGCTCCTTCCACTAGAAGCCCCATCAATCCTGGCTTCCACTGAAGATGAGTGGATATGAGTCAGGGAAACAGCAGGACGCTTGAGCAGTGCAGTGTGGGAATGGCCGAAATGTGTTCAAGCAGATGGAGGTAAGATTTAGGATTAATCAGCATTGGTGTAGATGATGGTCTATCAATGTGAGCACATCTCATCTGTTTTTATAAATAGAAAATTTAAATATTTTTCTAGTTTAGGAGTATTTTCTACAGGTTCTGAAGTATTTAAAATTTCATATTTTTAAAGAAAACATGATACTCTTAGGTGTTTAGAATGTTACCTAAAAATATAATGATTTTGGTGTAGTCTGGGCACATCTCAGATGGAGTTGCTTACAGATTGTCCTTTACTTAGTAAAATTAATCTTGGTTATTTGTTGTACCCCAAACTTACTTTTCTCAGCATCCTGGTTATATGATCATATTTCCTATTTATTCACTATAGCCTCATTAAACTGTCTAAAGGAGCTGGAGTTTACGTCCATCTAAGATCCAATAATCACTTTCTTGCCTTTTTTAGAATGGTAAGTCAGGTGTAAATAGGTTGTGTTATGGGCTGAACTGTGTCCCACTGTAAACTCATTTGTTGAAGCCCTAACCCCCAATACTTCAGAATGTGACTATATTAGGAGATAGTGTCTTCAAATAAGTAATTAAGTTAAAATGAGGTCATTAGTGTAGGACCTCATCTAATATGGTGAATGTTTAAATAAAAGAAATTATTACAGTAAAAGACACATTGCCATTAATCCCCCTCAAAA